GTATTTTGTGGAAGAGCCACACTCAAGGGGCCAAAGAGCCGCATGTGGGTCGCAAGCCGCGGTTTGCCGACCACTGGCCTACCTCCTACAAGCAAACCTGGAAGGCCATCTCCTGGTGTCTGTGATATTGCATCTCAGTGAGTGAGGCAGCTATTATTGTAGCTAGCTGGTTGAATAATTGTTTTGTAAATCCATCTTTCTTGAATGGGCTCCAAGGTCTAGACTTGGGAAAAAATATTTCTCCTAGATTGCTTTAAAAGAAAAAAAATAAAGCTTTTTTAAAAATTATTTTTTATAATCCTCTCCCAAGGATATGTTTTTATTGATTTTTAGAAAGAGAGGAAGGGAAGAAAAAGATATAGATATAGGTATAGAAAGTACTTGCTCCCACCGGGGATCGAACTCCTAATCTAGGTATGAGTCCTGACTGGGAATCAAAGCTACAATCTTTCAGTGTGAGCGAAGATGCCCAGTTGAGCCACCTAGACAAGGCAAAATAAAGCTATTTTTATCTTTCTTTCAATTTTTGTATCTATTTCTCAATTGATTGGAAAGTAGAGAAAGTTGTGATTGATGTTTATACCTGATAATCTTTCTACAACAGGCATCACTTTCCGCCCCATTACAATTAGGGAAACTAAGTTTCAGAGAGATTAAGTAACTTGGCTAAGACCATGCAACTAGTAAACAGAGAAGCGAGCATTTGACCTGTGTGATTGCACTTCCCATTTCACCCACCTGTTGCACACACTTCCTCTTACAGAATCTCTGAGTAGAAGGGGACCTCAGGGGTCAGCCGCATCACTTCAGCCATCGCAGGAGTTCCATCTTCCACATTCTTGCCAAGTGTTTCTCCTGCCTTTGCTTACACATCTCCAATATCAGGGAGTTTACCACTTTACCAGGGCAGTCATTGTACTCACCATAGACACGCAGCCCATACTCCTGGGTGAAGGGCTCCTGGAGGGACGAGCTGTGTATTTGGACAGAGTAGGCACCTGAGTCATTCTTACTCAGTTTGCTGAGCTTCAGGGAGTAGTTCCCGTGCAAGAAGTCTACCCTTCCCTTGTTATGATTTTTAGTCACTATGACAGTGTCTGGTTTGTTTGTCGTTGTTGGCTGTATGGTGACAAGAGTAGTACTTTTAAAGATCCAGATAATGCTGTCAATCCGATCTACTGAGTGTGTCAGAGGGAAAGTCACAGACCCACCGACGACACCCACCAGCTCCTGCTGGGCTCCAGAGGCTGCGGGCCCTGCAGACACAGAGAACCATAAAATAAACGTGAGTCCCTGCTCTTTCCACCAATGACTCAGCCCCTTTGGGCTCTAGAAAGGTCCCAAGAAAGTCGCTCCGTCCAACCCGCCCGGCCCCTGGGAAACCTTTTGGAACCTCATTCATAGGAAGGCATTGAGGTCAGAACTCTTCCTGAAAGGAGTGGCTCCGGTGAACCTCCTGACTCCCAGAGGCCTCTGGCTGGAGACAAAGCTCCGAGGCAGACACAAGACCCCGCTCCACCCCTGACACGCTCCTGGAGGAGGAGAACTGGGAGGTTACAGTCCAAGTCCCTGCCCACTGCTCCTGGGAGAGCCGAACTAGATGCAGGTGAGGAAGGAGAGCCTTCCTGACATGGGGCAGAGGTTTTCAAGCACAGATCAGAACAGTGGGAGGTAAGCTGTAAGTGCCTCGTGATAGTGATAGCTTAGAAATCTGAAGACTAGTTACCTTTCTCGCTTATGGTAGAGTGCAATTGAGCATCCCGATTTCCCTTTTATGTCTTTTGGTGACCTTCCCTTAAGCATCAGCTGCTCTCCCAGTACTTGAGAGTAAGAGAACCTGATGCCCCCCTGGCTGGTTGAGCTCAATGGTTAGAGCGCTGCCTTCAGACTAAGGGGGTCTCGGGTTCGATTCCCGATCAAGGGCACATACCTGGGTTGCAGAATCCCAGCCCAGGTCGAGGCATGTGTGGGAGGCAACTGATTGATATGTTTGTCTCACATTAATGTTTCTCTCTCTCCCCCTCCCTCTCTCCTATCCATTCTCTCTAAAAATCAATGGGGGATGAGGGGAGAGAGAGAATCTGATGCTACCAAATGTTGACCTACTCCCTTGATTATAGGTCTGGGATCTTGACCAACATTTTTGCTAAATTTATTTTGAAAAGAACTGGTTCCTCTCCCTGGGTAATGTCTTTTAGGAGGCGATTCCTGTTTTCAAACATTATTCTCCTCTGGGGGGAGGGGGGAGGAGGGTGCGGGCTGTGGGTGTGGGTGGAGGGTGTCAATAGGGGGAAAAGGGGTCACCTGTAATACTTTCAATAATAAAGATAAGTTAAAAATAAATAAATAAATGCAATGTGGAGTATTTTCAAAAAGCAGAAAACACTCACACATGCACAAAACACACACATTATTCTCCCTATAATTTATTGGTCAGTGGATGTATTCTTTGAGTCCCTCAGGCCTTTATCAAATCATCCTGTTAAAGAATCTGATTTTCAAACAGCTGCTCTCCCTGCCTCCTTAATTCTAAGGTAGGATGGTTTTTCAGTTGCTCTCTGATCATCTCAAGGGTGCCAAAGTAGTCCCAGTAAATGTTACAGATGAAATCAATTTTATTTTTAATTTTTGATGGATCAGTTAATGCATTTATTCTTTCACTTCAACAATTGAGATGAAGGAATTAATATTTTACAGTCAAATAAAGGTTGGGCATCACTTGCTCTCAAGTAGGTGTAATTCTTGCATTTAGGGCAACTAGGAGTAATTTTTTCTTGACCTGAGGTTTTAGGGAGATATAATCAGGGAGGTGACAAAACTGTAAGTATGGGCTTTCATGCTTTAGCACACATTTAAGCTCTAAACAACTACCCTTTTCACTTCACACATGGAGAGGTGCTATATTCTGAGGGTAAATGTCAAAAGATATAAATTATGTGGAGATATTGTGCTGGGCTGCATATCTGGCGCTTTGGCCAGACGGGTCATGCTGTGCTGTCTGTTCCTAAAACACATAGATAGGAAGGTACTGATATCAGGCCAGGCCTGGAGATATGGTCTCATGGCCCCTTCTCAATATGCTGTACTCTCTGTTCCTAAAACACATAGATAGGAAGGTACTGATACTATACTGTGTCGGGAATTAAGGTTTTGTAACTTTGTGGTTTTTGCAAATAAAAATACTATAATTCCTGTAGTCTGCGCTGCAGTTCAGCCTTTGCTTCGGCAGGGTGCTGTAACTGTAGTCAGCTGGCCAGCTTAATAAAGGCTCTTAAATTTAAATTCTGAGTCGGTGGTCTATCTCGCTGAGTGAACCCATAACAATATAAGAAAACTAGAGGCCCAGTGTGCAAAATCACACGTGGTAGCCTGCTGCTGTTCACAGCCCCACCCAGCCACCCGCCACCCAGCTCACCCACCCGCCACTGTTCATGGTGCTTGCTGCCCTGCCCATCCACCACCTGCCTTGCTGCAATCGGAGCCTGTGGGCCATGGGGGAGGGACCAAGAGGTGCTCAATGCACCTCATGGTGACTGGTCATTTGGTCATCGTGGTCGTCATGGACACTGGCTTTTTATACATATAGATGTCTCCACATTTATAGTTCAAATGAAACTGGAGGATGATAGTACAAATTGCCAACATGAGTCTAGATAGAGTCTATTGTTCTATCTTAATTGTATCTTCAGGGAGGGAAGAGGGGTCATGAAAGAAGAAAGTAGCTCCATGCCAGTCCCTAAACGTGAATTTAGAGAATAAGGGGGTAAGTCCCAGCAAGTTTTGTTTTCTCTTTCCAATTTACTATAAAAAGTGATGTAGAAATAAAAGACTTCTCAACTGTCCCAAACTGGACTGCATTTTTCCTTTCTGTGATGGCTTCTCCACCTGCCAGTGTGACCCTACAGAGTTTACCATGTCTAGGTAGGTCATGCTTTTCTCATTCAGTCATTCCTTTCTTTAACAAGATTTTTTATGGTTCTGTATTTATGCCAGGCACTGTTTAGGAGCTGAGGATAGAACTGGGGGGCAAGCCAGCCATGGGGTTGGAAGATTGTCATCTAATAATTAAGTGCGTGTTATAAAAAGGAGAGTAGCCAGTGCTTAGGGAAAATACAATGGGGGAACTTAACATGATTGTGGGATCAGCTGATTCTAGAGCATGAGTGGCTACTAACGCCTACAAGACCTGAGAAGATTTGGCCTCATGACACTCATCTGACCTTCACTCCTGCATCAGTGCAGTGAATGGCGTAACTTCCCTCATTTGCGTCCATTTCACCCATTCTTCGTTGTGTGGCATCCAGGCTTTTGGGTAAGAATGGCAGGCTCCCAGCTTGGTGGCAGCCTTCCTCAGGCATGGTAATTAATTCAGGGCTCCCACATAACCTGGGTTGATTGTATCTGAGAGAAGAAGCCCAGGTTTGCTCTAAGGCCAGGATGACCATACGATGGTTAATCTTCACCTTAGGATATTTTTCCATTATTATTATTATTATTATTATTATTAAAGGAGGGTGGGGGGAGATAGAAACATGGATGTGAGAGAGACACATCCACTGGTTGCCTCCCAAACACGCCCCAGCTGGGAGTGGGGAGTGAACCCAGACCCCAGGTACATACTCTTGACCAGAAATCAAACCTGCGACCCTTCTGTGCGCAATTGGTGCTCTAACCATTGAGAACACAGACCAAGGCATGTCTTTTCCATGTAATGCTTTGATCTTCTTCAGAAGTGGAATTGCTGGGTCGTTCTTTGTTTCTTGTTATATAGCCTTTGTTTTAAGTAATGCTACCCCAGCTTTTTTGATTGTTTCCATTTTAATTAAATATATTTTTCTACCCCTTTATTTTCAGTCTCGGTGTTCTTTCAATCTAAAGTGGGTCTCTTGTTGACAGCATATCTAAGGGTCTTGTTTAGTTATTCATTCAGCCACCATATGTCTTTGGATTGGTGCATTTAATCCATTTGCATTTAAAGTAATTATTAATAGATTTATATTTATTGCCATTTTATTATTCATTTTCATATTACTCATATTTTGTCTTCTCCTTAAAGAAGACCCTTTAATATTTTTTTGTAATACTGGTTTGGTGGTGATGAACTCCTTTAGCTTTTTCTTGTTGGGGAAGCTCTTTACCTGTCCTTTGATTCTAAATGATAGCTTTACTGAGTAGAGTATTGGCTAGAAGACCATAAGATTAAAGGACCTCAGATGTAGTTTCCTAGGCATTTTAAAATTTTAAAATTCAGATTCTGCATTGATATAGCAAAAAGGTATAATTCAATATTAAAAATAAATTAAAAAGCAACCAAGTAAATATGCAAACAAAAAACCATGCCATTATTCATCAGAAGTTGCAAACCAGAGCATTGATTTTAACAATCATGTCAATCTTAGAGTATAAATTTGTCATTTTCTACAATAGTACTTTTCTATTTTAAATTATAATGAATCCATATCATTTATCCTCCCCCAACCTAGTTTAGAGTGTACAATTTGAACCAAGTTTCATTTGTCTGATAATATTTTAAGTAATACATATTATGTAGATATCCTCAAAGGTTGGTAAGTGTTCCTTATTTGCCTGTGGCTAGGGCCACAGGGATTGTTGACTAAATCTATTTCTTTCCTTAAAGTGACACTTTTCCCTGTTTAGAGTAAAAAGCCCCACTGTGAAACCTGATTTCACTAAGCAATTTATTTGCTTACTTCATGGACATGTTTATAATGAAACATTTTTTAACTAGAGCAGGTTTTGTTTATGATATATGATGAGCATATAATTAAATTGGTAAAGAGACAGACAAAGCAAGTTTTCTAAGAGACCATAAATATGTTGATTAAATGAACATTTTACACTTGAAAACAATGCATTTATAGTTTTGTAAAATAATAAATATTTTTAGTGGTAATTTAAAATCAGATTTACTTGTATTTATTTTTTGGAGTAAGGTGTTTGGAATAATAAAGTGAACTCATATATTTTATTCCTACTCTGTTTTCCTTAATTATTTTACCTTAAAAATCCAAATTAATGGTTTATTTGGCTTGTTGTTTAGACAACTAATAACCTTTTCATATCATAGTAGCATTTATTAATTTTCAATAAAAAGGAAACTTTTTAATAAAACATGAACCTAACAATATTCTGGATCAGGCTATGGGTTCTATTACTAAGGAATACAACCAATTGGAAGATAATAAACTTAAGCAAACACTAGTTGAATTTTAAATATATTTTATCTTTATTAAAG